AGTTGCAAACTTTGCATTCATTGCGTCTGCTCATTTGCTTTTAGTTTCCGAGATGTGACGTTTTTGATGTCATTTTAATTTGTTTAAAAGAACTTCACAGAATTTTATGGTTTCAAAATTTGAGTAAAAAAAATTTGAAAGTACCTTGTAATTGGGTGCTGTCAGAGTACACTCAAAGGATGCAATTCTTTTTTCCAATATTTTCGGTTTCTCATACTTTGTTAAACACTCGAAGCACCGGAGATGCGTTTCACACTATTCATACTGATTTTCGAGCAGAGCTGGGTGTATTAGTATATCGTGCATTTCATTATATAAGTTCAGAGGGAGACAATTGGAGATATTTTTGTCTTTTAAAAGGGGGAAATGGAATAGTTCGCTGTTGTCCTTAAAGGAATACAACAGTGGATGGATTTGTTTAAAAATATGAGTTTAGCGTACGCAAGGGGTTTCCCCCACAGTTTCAGTTCAGTTAGTTAGACATATTTCTGCAGTTGTTTCGGGTAGAGTCGCACAGAGTTTTCCAGCTACAGGGGTTGGAGTCATCGAATCTTTTCTCGAAATGCTCCCACATCCATTGCAGCAACCGTCCTTTGAGTCCTATCGTGTTGGTAAAGTCCATTTTTTGAGCAACCATTATAGCCAGCCTTTTTGCATGAAACCAGAAATTTTTAGTTTACTCTCTTCTAAGTTTAAAATGCGATGTCCAGCCTAGATCCGATTTTACAATTATTCCTAGGTCTTTTTCTTCTGAGACTTTCTTAATTTGAATTGAGTCGAAGTAAAAGTCGCCGGTAGGTGAGTGCATTTTGACGCATTGAACGCAATCTGGTTTTGATGAGTCCACGTGAAGATGTTATTTAGGTCATTCTGAAATTCTGCGTTAAGTGTACCAATTCGTATGAACTTTGCATCGTCTGCGTATAGAAAGCTGGTGGAATGATTACATACACTTGGTAGGTCGTTAATCATGACAAGAAAAAACAATGGCCCGAGGATTGATCCTTGAGGAACACCGCTTGTGACATAGAATGATTGGGACAGACAGTCTTTGATTTTGACACATTGTGTTCGATTTGTCAGGTAGTTATAAATTAGCTTTAATATTTTGCCTCTGATTTTCAACGAGTAGAGCTTATCAATCAGAATACCGTGATCTACTTTGTCAAAATCTTTCTCGAAATCGGTATATTTTACGTCTACTTCTTCATTTTTGCTTATAGCTAAATATATGGTATCAATGTAACATTCGCCCAGAAGATACATATCGACGGAAAATAAAGCTAGGTTCTGAGACGACTGGCCAACGTCTAAACAGAGCTCTACATGCTTTTCACCGTCTCTACCAAGCCAGTACTTTCGGTGGTCTTTCTAACATCGGGTCGACAAAAACGTTACTGCTTTCGGCTTCGGTCAAAACACTCAAATTAACTAGATTACATGCAGAAGTAGTGAGCTCATGGCTGGGTCTCAGTATCCCCAGACCACGTGGTCACTCCTAAAAACAGGGCTACTACTATTTATCGAATTGTTATTGTTTTTGTTCAGTAGATAAAAATCATCATCTCCATCGAAGATGGATCAACCCTTTCCCCCAATTCCTAGCTTCTGTTCTTAGCAGAATGAATTCAGATGTAAATTAAATTCAATTCAGGACATAATAGGGGAGCTAAACGTTTATAAAAGATGATAAAAGTTCCAGTCCCGAGACCCCTCCGGATTCTTGAATCCGGGGAAATAAGACTCTTATTCTCCTTCCGGAAGGCTGTCTTCCACCCTTCACAGTTGTTCGCAACGGCCTTGCATCTATTGTAGCGACACAATAGTTGCAACTCGGAACGGTCTCTGCTACTTCTGCAATTTATTGTTGTTTTCCAATCACAATTCTCGTCGTTATCGCTATCGCAACTAATGTTGTTGTTGTGTTTTATTTCGGTTTTCTGCCAAAATGATCGTTTCTGACGTTTCTCAGATATATGACGTCATACTTCGAATTTTTGAAATTTCAAAATACCAGAATATCATGATCTTCACCGTTTGACTAATCGTCCCAATAACGTTGTTAATCCCTTAAAACCGTCAATTCGGAAGGTTAGCTGCTAAAATTTCGAATCTGTTGAATCTGCATTCATGTCCATTCTGGTCGAATGTCACACAAGATAGAGCAGCATTTGGATGGTCCCTGATCTTTTTGCGCGTTGTTGTTGTGCAATTGGTTGTTGTGCAACAAAGGTTCTAGATGTTTATAGAGATCGATGAAAAGAATTTTTTTGGATGATTTTGCTGGCAATTTTAAGAAGTGATATTGGCCTGTAGTTACTTATCAGGGAAACAAGATGTCTGGAGTGCTTTATATATGATATGGTAGAGAGAGGGCGTTAAAGATTTACCACAACGCTTAAAGAAAACAGGGGGTAGTAGATCGGGACCTCTCGACTTACTTAGATCTAGATCATTACATAATTTGGCAATCAGATTCCTGTCTGGTTCTATATAAGGAATTATTTGTTTAGCTGAGTGCTCTTGTTTTTCAAGACAGGATGGTTGAGAAGAGATTATAAATGCTAGATTACAAAAAACTTGGCGAATAGATTAGCTCGCTCTGGCAAGGTTTTCGCAACTGAATTATCAAGTTTCATGACGGAAGGTAATTCTGAGTTACGGAACTTTCTAAAGTATTTAAACAGAGTTAGCCAGATCTTGTTCGTATTCGCTTCTGTTATTCTCTACGGCGGTTTGTCCCTTTTCATTCATTGCAATCACCGAGGCACATTGCGAACCTTTTTGTTTGGGTAATGATGACAGACGTTTCATTGAATTTGACGTCGCAGGAGTTATCCAGGGAGGAAAATTTTGTCTATGTTGAGTTCTACGCGGGATGAATTTTGGCAGAAAGCTATGAATTCATTCGTACCATAGTTCGACTATTTTTGTAACATTTAACCAGAAGTAAGGTGAGAAGGTGTTGATTGAAAACGCATCGTTTAAACCGTTGAAGTCAGCTTTGCAACAGCTATAGAAACTGGTCTTACTAAATGTGGAGCTTTTCTTGAATTCCGTTATGCGAATTATTGAGTTAATAGGTTTGTGATCAGATTTTGGTACAGTAAATACGTCGAGTGGTAGGGTGTCAATTATTTCAACCTGGTTGCTAACAAGGAATAAGCAACAGTTAATTAAAATTTGTATCTGAAAAGTACAGAACAGAAACAGACAATTTCAAAATAGTAAAAATGCACAGCTTCAAACCATCCAAAACGGTGTGCAACGACAGGCCGAGTTGTGGTACTCGGGAACCATGAACAGATGGAAGTAGAGCGGGAAACAGACACTGATGGATATGGAACTGGGTTGGCGGAGAGCTATAGCAGAGAGACAAGAAGGACGACACGGGAAAGGACAGAAGAAAGGCGCATCTAGGAGAGAGTGAACTTAAAGACAGACTATCGGGAATTGAGAATATTTACATCAACATCCACCATTCTTACTGGAGAATCTCTCATTTTCCTTTTACGGCGTAGGGCTATCAGAGCGGACTTGATGACGGTAAAACTCAGGCACTTTCTTATATAGTTCTCATTATCAGCGTAAGAGCAGCCATTCTTAGAGCAAAGTTTTTCCGCTAGAACAGTACAAAAGTGATCGGCCTCTTCACCCATTGCTCCATTAGTAGCAAAGACAAGGGGGGTGAAACTGGCATGCTCCACTTGCTGAACCCGTTCTAGGTATGCAGCTTTCTTCATCTTCTCGTGGTCGGCAAGAATTGTTTTAACTGGCTTACCACGGTTCGATGGTGAGTTGATGTGGGTCACTCTGACGTCGTACATCGATTTTTGCATTGGCGTCCAGAAAGACCTGCATGCGATATCGAGACGAGGGCCTTCTTCAATGTTTACCCGAATAGTAATTTTTTCCTCATCGGTCAGGGAAATTAGCGGAGGCTCAATGCTTACATCTTTACATACACTATCAAGAACATCAGCAAAGAGATCCCGGACGCAGTTATGGCGCATAATCACAAAGCCACCTAGCTTACAACCTAATGAGTGGTCAATGCTGTTATTTTGTCCACATTCACACTTCGTGGCCATGTTGACAAGTGGTCACTCATATCGCAAATTCAGACTATCTCTGAATTCGTCGCGGTTAAAGTAGAAACCGTGTTCTCTGGACGGCATGCAGGACAGCCAAGTTGATGTTCCTTATGGCTGGAGCACCTCCAAGGCTCTCCTTAGAGACGGCGTGGCTTCTTGCAATATTAGATTCAATTCTGACTTAGCGTGTTCTTCGTTCCTTTTTCTGATGGCTTTGCGCTCTTCTGTGCAATGCGAGGGTGGTAGCTCGCATTTCTCGATAACAGCGCTCGTTAATCTCGTGCACAACTGTTTCGAGTTCTCGTGCTCTCGTTCCGCTCGCGTAGTGGGTATGAAAACGCCTAGACCACCTATTTTGCAGGGCAAAGCTAAAACTCTGCGCTCAAAGTCAGAGATGGTTCTGCCCATAATCTTTTCTAGGAAATAACGTATGTGGACCTCTAGTTTAGTTAAACCGTCGTCGATGCTGGGAATGGTGCGCATGGCGAACGACCACTTGCTCTGCATGACTTTAACAAACACAGCATAAGAAAGATGTGGTTCGCGAGTCGCCATTTCGCTTAACTTATAGATCTGTATGACCCACTCCTCAATCAGTTTCCCAACGTACTGCTGTTTAAACTGCGCCGAACCTAATGTTCCCCCGAGATATCGGTGGCCCTCCGTGGTAATGTTAACTTTTGAACTCGCGAAAAGGTCTTCAGCTACTTTCTTGGACGTTTCATCTTTTAATATCAGCCAGCACTTGTCTGGTCTCGGGTAGTATTCATAAGTTAACATTAGCCTAATTGTTGTGATAAACTTATTAAATAGTTGTGTTCATACGAATAAGTTGTGTTCATACGAACAATCTGTTCAGTTAACAGTCTATACGCTTACATATTTTATTAGTTAAGAATATCAAAGTAAACTTATTAAATAGATTCCTCTTCCCTCGTTCAAACTGTGTGTTTTCAGAAAAGTTGTAGCTAGGAACAAGAACACCTTATTCGAAACGAAAAAAGTCCCGTCCGTTCCTAGCCGTGGATGGGTGAAAACCAATGAGATTTCACATATTCAAGAAATCGTCGTCGCAACACTTGTTGATCGGAGACTCACAATTGAAAAATCTAACTTTCCCAAATTTCAATATCCTCAGCCTTCCTGGTGCAGGTATCGCGGATGTTCTAAACTTCTTGCCCCGCAAGAACGAATACGATATTATAGCTCTATTCATTGGTGCGAACGATCTGTTTACGAAAGACAAAAAAGACTCAACGAGAACACCCGAAGACGTTGCTGAAGAATTATCCCAACTTGGCCTACGGTTGACAGAACGTTGCAATAAAGTTTTCATTATCGCTCTACCACCCAGACTCGGAAGACCAGCCCGAACGGAACGTTTAAACGATATTCTTCGCAAAAAGAAAGAACTCTGGCGATATCGCGGTATATCGAAAGGAATAACCACCAAAACTGTTCTATCTTCCGACGAAGTGCATTTAACAACAGCATCGCTTGCGAGTCTCCAAACGATTTTGAAAAAGAAAATCATCTACAAGAAGTTCTGTGTAAAAACTGATAGCGAGGGCTACTCGAATATATACCACTGCGGCAACAACACTTGTCGGTGTCATCATTTTCACAGAGACTGAATTTTCTATTGATTACCCTTTAGGTATCGCCAGATTTGATGTCTTTGTGAATTCACATCTATAAAAAAAACCGTTTTCTCCCGCTAGTCATCAAGTACCCTTAAGGTCTCAAACAACTGTTCTCATAACCCTAACACTGATACTTCAGTCCTCAATCGGCGCCCTTTAGGTACCACCCTGAGGACTCGAGTACACTACCTAAACCTTCATCCCCCAAACACAGTTTCCACAGAGAAAAGAGGACGTAAACATAAATAAAACTGAGAATGTCAAAGGACAAAAAATCTTGCAAAACATGCAAGAAACCCATAAACGAAAATGACCCAATATACAATTGCAACACCTGTAATTGCTCTATGCACCTTGAAGTTGTCTGCACTGGCCTCTCGACCGTTGCACTCAATGGAATACTGGAACTTGGTAACAACGCACTACTGATATGCAATACCTGTTTGTCCAACGTAATAAGAGATCAAGTAATCAGAAGCACAGCATCACATGACAAAAGTGAAAACATCAAAAAAATTGAAGAAGAAATTTCAAAACTAAGTAAAGTAGTAGCCGAAGTCTCGACAAAAATGGAAAATATTAAAGATCCCATCCAAAGCCTGCCAATAGCAGAACAGGGTAAAACCTGGTCACAAGAAGCGGCGCAAAACATAATCAAACCCCTGAGCAAAGGATTGAGAATAAGAGGGGTCCCCGAGATCAAGGAAAGAGATGGAAGAAAAAGACTTGACCATGACTATGATGAGGTAAATAAAATCATAAGATTCTTAAACCTCGAATGCAATATCACTGATCTCAAGCGTGTGGGAAAGTTCAGCGAAGAACGAGCAAACCACAGAACTATACTGGTACGATTAACCTGTCCAAGAGAAATAGACTTGATACTATCATCAACACCGGCCCTCAAAAATTATGACAAAAATGTCTTCATAAGTAAGGAACTCTCAGTCGAAGAAATGAAACTGGAAAACGCCATCCTGAGAGAACGTAGAAATCTCAGCAGCAGTAGTAAAAACCCCAAAAATCTTCGAATCAGAAACCTAGAACTGCATGAAAAAGTAGACGACACCTGGACAAAAGTTACAATTAAACCGGAGGCAAACAGCACAATTCAGACTAGAAATGACAACTGACTAGAATCGCTGAATGTTATGTCATTCAATACACGAAGTATACTGGATATAAATAGACGTATGAAACATAGCAATATAATACTATCGAACGATTATGACATCATTTGCTTAAGCGAAACTTGGTTAACTGAAAACATCCCTGACAACGCGCTTTTTCTGCCAGCACACATAATAACTAGATGTGATAGACCTACCAACTCAACAAAATCGAAACACGGGGGCGTGCTTATTGCTGTTAAGCAATCTCTAGCTTTCACAAAACTTGAAATACACACTACGGACTGCGTTGGACTCCTCCTTAACACTCCGACACCTCTCATCCTATGCTGTATCTACAGTGCCCCGAACGAAAGCAAATATAAGCTATCCACAGATGACTTCAACAAACTATTGAATATGCTAACTGACTACTCAAATGAATTTCAATGCCCAAATATTTTATTGGTTGGTGACATCAACTTCGCTAATACGCATTGGCAAACCTTGCAATCAACCCAAAAACACGAACAATTAGTACTGCAGACTTTTATTGATATGAACTTTCAACAGTTTATCGAACCCCCTCATGACCAATTAGATATTGTCCTTTGCAACAACCCCGACATTATTTTAAACACCACGATAGACAACCATATGAAAAAACACTTCTCACACCAAGAAAGAGAATTATCAGACCACAAACCTTTTCTAATCACGATATCATCTCTTACACACAATGACGAAAAAGCCACTCCCATACAACACGGATCCGACTTTCTGGACTTTGGTGTCTTCTCATTAAACAACGTCGATTGGATTACTTTAAACAAATACTTTTTGGAACACCCATTTCAACCGTACTGCTACTCTAACATTGACCACTTAATCAACTCATGGTACCTCTGGCTATATATAGCACTAGAAAAACACATGAAAAAACAGACCAAACACCGTATGAACCTAGCACCTTGGATCACACCTGAAACCTCCGATATTGTCAAAAGACTCAACACAGCATCAAAAAAAGTAGCCTTTAAAAATACTCATACTAATAACCGCAATCTTGAAAGACTTAAAAACCTTGTAGATCATTTATCCGAATTAGATCAGAAAAACTTCGAAGAATCAATTTCAAGGGCAGAAATTTCTCAAAGCTCCAAAAATACTTTAAAAGCATACGAAAAAACTCAAGTACTCCAAAAACAATGTACTGGAATGAAAAAAACCGAATCAACAGAGCACGGTAAAGCTAATCTTCTAAACAATTACTTCGTAAGCGTTTTTAACATTAAGCAGAATGAAAACATTTTACCAATAGCTGAATTACCTGGCTCAATCAAATGCTTCAATTTCTCTGAAAATGAGATATACGACATCCTTAAAACATTAAACCTCCAAAAAGCAAGAGGACCAGATAGACTCGGTAACACAGTCCTAACCAATTTAGCAGATAGCATAACTTCATCTCTAAAACTGATTTATAACAACATCACCAACAAAGCAACATTTCCAACGATCTGGAAACTTAGCCAAATCATCCCAACTTTTAAAAATGGAAACAAGCAATCGGTCACAAACTACAGGCACATCAGCCTGCTAACTGCAGTATCCAAAGTCTTAGAGAAACTGATCTTCCTTAAAATCTCACCAAAGATCTTCTCGCAAATCCATGACAGCCAATTTGGCTTCTGTCCTAAACGATCGACAACTCTGCAAATGCTCCAATTCCTCGACAAAACCATGATGACTTTGATAACCCTAATATCAAGTCTCTACAGGCAATATACTTAGACTTCGAAAAGGCTTTCGACAAAGTTCCTCACGACTTGTGCATATATAAACTCAATAAATTTGGCATATCAGGAAACGCACTTAAACTATTAGCAAACTACTTAACCAACAGAAAACAGCAAGTACGAATAGGTGCGGCAGTATCCAGCCATCTTGAAGTTAGTTGCGGCGTACCTCAAGGCTCACTGTTAGGGCCAGTATTCTTCATTACATTCATCAACGATTTACCGTCATCACTCACCAACTCGTGCTATGGTTACGCAGACGATTATAAAATTGTTGCAACGAACCCTTCCCTGCTCCAACATGACCTAATCACGATCAACTTATGGTGCAAAGATAATTCCATGAGTCTTAATTTGAAAAAATGTCACAATATAATATTCAAAGACCCCCAACTTGACCTAAACATGTATCTCGGTGACCATATACTTGAAAAAACCTGTTCAGAAAAAGACCTTGGTATACAAATAACCAACAACCTAAACTGGTCAGCACACGCAAAAATAAGAGCCCAAAAAGCAATAGGCTGCTTATTTTTAATTAAAAGAAATATTTCAAAATCAGCGAGCTTAAAAATGAAACTGAACTCCTACTGTGGATATGTAACCCCAATTGTGTCATATGGCCCACCCATATGGAAAGCAAATAAGTGTGAATTAAAAATTATTGAAGATGTCCAAAGAAAAGCTACACGTTGGATACTGTCATGTAACAACATCAACTATAAAGACAGACTGATTAGATTAAACCTGCTTCCACTGTCTCTCTACCACGAAATGCACGGCATTCTCTTGCTTCATAAAATAATAAACGACCAATACAACTTCCATCGGAGACAATTTGTTCAGTTCAAAGAATCTACAGCCCCAACAAGAAGATCAACGAAAAATAACTTAGCGCATAAAAATTATCATTACGAAAAATCGAAAAGCAATTTCTGGCACAGAACACCTATACTAGCAAACAAAATTTTACAGACTCAGGAAGAAGAAGACCTGTTTGCGATGAAATACGAAAGACTCAAATCAAGCCTCAAAAACGTTTTCTGGATTTATTTCATCAGTAAATATGAGGAAAGTGTCCCATGCACATGGAGAATAAACTGCTGCAATAGCTGTGTAAACTCAAAGAAACTATAAAACTCAGTTTAAAACTCCCAACGCGGGGCATTTTAGCCCCATGGCTTTATGTCTAAATCCTTGTTCATTATTATTATTATTATTATTATAGGGCCCAGTGACAACAATGACTCCCACCAGCTTTTCACATGTTGCAGCTTCCCGATCGAGGCGGCGTCGTCAGCAAACCATGGTTGATGGCAGAGGTGGGCTTTCAGACGGTCAATCAGAGGCTTAATACTAACCGCATAAAAAGCCATGGCAAGATTATCGCCTTGTGTCGTTCCTTCACGAGATGTGATTTCCATTCCGTTATTGAGTATGAGGTGCGCCGGTCTTCGATAGGTGTTGATAATGTAGCGCGAAAGACTAAGCACAAGGACTAAGTCAAGTATATTAGCGTTTGTTGTTTTGAAATGAACAGCTTGAGTTAAGCTTAATGAGTTAAGCTTAATTTATCTATTTTGTCAAGTATACATTTACCCAAAAATGGGTTCGGAATTCAACAAAAATAATTTGATAAGAAATTTAAAATAATTATTTCTCGCAGTTTGGGCATCGTCGGGATTTAAATTTCTAAATTTTGATTATGAAAATGAGACAAGGTGAGTGTTAGATTGATCCATGTGAAATGGCCAAACACACTGAGTGTACGTAGTAACCTACAATAGAACGTTCTACTCTTTCTAGCGTCGAGGTGGTGGTGGTATGTTCTGTTTCCAAACAAACCACGTAGTGCCTCCGTCATATTGAGCTAAAAAGCTCGGGGAAATATTGTCTCTGGCTCCTTAGCCAAAAACTATAATGCCTGTCCTTCTTAGCCTCAAATATGACTCGAGTCAACGAGTGCTACTTTGATCAGACATCTTAATTTTAATATAACCTCTGCTGTTTAATTTTAGCTAGACAATGAAATTAGATGAAATTGAAGATGTTGAAATTGACAATGAAGGGAAATTTAAATACATCCTAATTAAAGCCAAAGAAAAATCTACGAAATTGTCCAAGCTTCTTGTGAGAGGATATGCAGAGTGCCCATATCATGCAGATATTCTTGAAAAGGTTATGTTTTCTAAATGAAATTTTCATTGCCAAATTCAAGTTCCTTGCTGCCATAACCAAGCTTCTGACACGTTCTTTTGGACCGATAATTAAAAAATCAACCTTCGGTTTTTTGTTAGGCCATCAGTGTTAACTAGTAAATAGGAGTCTTATAAATAGAAGTTTTTCGCCCTTTTCCAGTTTCCCACCCATTGTACAATTACATGTTATAATTGTTGAATAATTGTTCATACGACAATTTGCAATCAAAAATGTCGTAATCTGTTAACTTGTTCATGCTGGCACGTGTTTTTTTACAGTATATTTTATCAACAAAACAAAAATTAAATAAACTTGTGAGTGAGTGAGTTTTCGAAAGGCAATGGTGGAGAACTAGAAAAGAGCCAAATTTTTATCAACTTTTGTTGTTTGGCCATGTTGCAGTAACCAATGGTTTTCCGGTGCTAGACTTTGTTTGAAAATGTTCACAGAACTGTAAAAAGAATTGGGCTCTCTGGATTTTTTCTGTTTTCTTGTTGTTGCACCAGTTTTTGTAGATTGGGAAGTAACTGTTGCCTGGGGCTGTCTAACCACGTGATGTTGGCTTAGTTACCTCTCGGCAAATATTAAAAGCTTATTTTCATAATGATGGTAGTGTTTTTCAAAGTGTTTTTTTTTCTATTTCGTAATTTCCGTCTCATTTTCTATTCAATAGCTTGCAATGCTGCGCTTGTCTTGTGTAATAGTTCCGTCTCTGTGTAATAGTTCCGTCTCTGCTTCGTCTCTGTGTAATAGTTCCAAATTGAATTGAGGTCAACTAATTGTTCGTAACACATAGAGCCCAAATCAGTGAATTGACCGCTTTAAGCGGAAGCGGCCGGAAAAAGCGGTAAACCAGTTGAAATAAGCGAAAGAGGTGAAAGCGGAATGATTTCTAGAAAAGCGCTAAAAGCGCGACTCATTTTCAGAAAAGCGTTTATTCACACATAAAAATGTTGCAGAGCGCTTGTCGAGTTAATTACTCTTGCCCATTGTCAAAATCAACAAACCACTTCATTTTTTGTCGACTTATCCAGAAAGCATACAAAACGTAGTCGCTTGGGCGCAAAATTTCTCGAGAATCTTATGTGCTTAAAAACTAATAGATTTAATTCAATTAATATTTCCTTGTTTGTTTTCTTAAAAAGCGGAGATCTATAGTTTAGAAAAGCGGTAAAAGCGAAAAGCCGCTTCGAAAAAAGCGGAAGCGGCGAAAAGCGCCATAAGCGGTCAATTCACTGGCCCAAATATTCGGTCGTGTTCCTAAAAATCCGGAATGCTAAAATCATAAATTGGAGGGGTTCGACGCAAAAGATTACTGGTAGTCTAGCTGTTGATTACTGGAAGCTCCAAAATTTTTTAATCTATTACAAATAAAAGATTGAAAAACAAAATGATAATTTGTTTTTTTTTCAATTCCTCAAAATTGAAAGCACTAATAATGTAAAAAGTTATAATTTTGAAGGATTATTTGAAGCGGGTGGTTTTGTTTCTCGACTGTTTTCCTGGAATTTAGTCCCCCCCCCCCCCGAAAAATGGTTATTTCTGTCTCATTTTCTATTCGCTAGCTTGCAATGATCAGATGGCATTGTATCATAAGTTATGTGGAGTTCAGTTTCACCTCTGAGTTAAGTATAATCTGCAATTTTATTGGCTGCAGCTTTGTTCAATTAAAAAAAAAGATGTTTTTTTTTCGAAGAATTTTTTTTTCAGATTTAAACTAGTTGTGCAGCATTAATTGTAGAGGAAACATTTTGTGCTAGTTGCATAAGATTATTTCTGTTTTCAGGTATCAATGATTTATTTGAAGGCGCTTGCTTCTCTAGGTCGGTGACTTTCAGAAAAAGTCGAAGATGTTGTAGCTCAAATTAGCTTTCCCGCTGTTTGACGTAATGCGTTTTTCTTCCAAATACTAAATTTCATTTAGCTTTTTGGTTTCGAGAGTCCACTAACCTTTTTCCAGCTGCCTCTAGGCTATGTTTTAGTTGTTTTAACTTTATTTTTTTTTCATGCAGCATAAAGCTTACCAATTTTGAGACCGAAATCAATAAGGAAAGGACCGAAAATTGTTAGTCTTTGCCACATACTGCGGCCGTTGCAGTTTGTGCTACTATACAGCAACTGGGAAGTTTAATGTCACTGCTTTTTGCACAAGCAAACGTTGCGGTGCTGGACTTTGATGTGAAAATTTTCACAGAACTGTAAATAGCATTGAGTTTTCTGGAATTTTTTTTCCATTTTCGTGTTTTTGTTATGCACATTTTTGTAGATTCGAAAGTAAATGTTGCCTAGGGCTGTTTTTTGCACACGATAGAGCTCCAAAAAGTTGAAGCCTAAATAGTTGACTTAAAAGAGCAAATGATTTACTTCGGGCAAAAGCTAATTTTTTTCGGACAGAATTGTCTCAAGGTCAACCATAAATTCAAATTTCATGCTTAAGTTGCTCAAAATCGGGAGATTGCTCTTTTAAATTTATTCTTTTGGTTTTAACTTTTATTTACTTATCATATTAAGACAGAAATCATAAAACAGACAGAATTATTAAGAAAGAGAAGTCGGCCAATTTTGAACAATTTTCGCATGCAACTTTTGGGTAAAATTTTGTGCTTGCGAGTTGCACAAAGCACGGATCATATCGAGATTGAAACTCTCAAGCTTCTGGTTTTCAAAACTAATTTGTAATACCTATTCATTGTAACTTATTATTCCGACCACTCGAATAGTGGAAAGGAAGTGTGGCGTTACGTCCTTTTTTCAACCGATTTTGACCACCTCAAGGAAATCTCGTAAGAGTTCAAGTGTGGTATCATAGGAAAGACCTTGTGGTTCCGATTCTAAAATAAAACAATCTGAGAAACTGACGAAGTTGACTTTCGATTTTCAGATTAAGGAAGACGAAATTTGTTGATAGACTGACCTCTTCAAGTCAATTCTGCTACAAGTTGATCATATTTTAACTAACATTATATCTTAATATTGGAGATTTTTGCTAAGTTCAGTCAAACTTTAAAATAAGCTAAGAAAAATTGAATAAATGAAATCATTTATTCAATTTTTCTTAGCTTATTTTAAAGTTTGACGGAACTTGGCAAAAATCTCCAATATTTTTAGAAATGAAATTTTATTGTCACGCTTGCGATAAGCTATGGCGTTGCAATCGGTTACTAGATTTTTATCCGTTAATATATTATTCACAGGATCTTTAATTTAATAAGATCTCCAGTTTCTACCTTAACAGCTCTGGGTCTAGGTTTACTGTCTAGAGTTAATGGGTTACTTTCAGATGTAAATTGATATTTTGAAGGCTTGATTGATTTTGTACAAATTTTGGTAGTTTTTTTTACTAGGTAATTTTTTAAGGAAATTCTTTTCAATTCAATTGTTTTTTTTTCAATTCCTTTTTGAAGAGCGTAGCTATATTTCATGGATTTTTTTTATTTTTGTACTCCAAAATTTTCAGTTTGAAAAGAAAAACCTCTAGAACGAGTTTTATATAGTTATTTGTTGCACGAGGTTCAAGATTGCCGTTGTTTGTGACAAATATGATTTTTCGTATGTTTTTCATTAACGGGCGTCTTTTTTTAAAGTTATCATTTTTGTTGTGAATCAAGGTTTTACTGTTGCTTGTTTACAAGGTTGATTTCATAAGCTGTCAAAGTTAAATTAAATTTTGTGATAATTGTTTGAAATTTCTGAATTCTAGTTTTTTGAAACTTCATCTGTTAATTTTTTTTTCATATTGCTCTTTTATTTATAGCAAGCAATCCAAAGTGCCTTTTGATACGCGGAATTGTTTCGATGGACATTCAGTTTGTTTGGTTGCAAAATTTTAAGCGAAGTTTTTTTTGGAGTTTTTGATTTTTTACTTCCAGAGTTACCAGCGGAATAAAAAAGTTTTTTATTGTTCTAGTTTTCTCTAATTGGTTTAAATTTTTAAAGAATGTCCATCGTAATATTCTTGATATGCTCTTTTCCACTGGCCACAGTCCGATGGCCGTTTCAACAGCTTTAAATCCCAGTGAGCGTTTTTATTGATAACCCAACTTGATTTAACCACAACAAATTTGAAAGTTTTTGACGAAGAAGAATTAATGTGGAAAGACATTGAGATATCTGCATCTTGTTTTCAGTAGGTTTCAGCAGTTCCTTTTCTCTGCATTTTTTTTGGAAAATTGTTCTTGAAATTGTTATCTCTTTTTCAACGAGTGAAAACGCAAACGCCAAAAGCATCATTTTGCTAGCTAAAACATTAGGTGATTGCGATGTTATCGCTCTAAATCGTATAGCATATTTTAACATTTTATAACAATTTACAGTAAATTAGTAAGGTAACATAAAAATGCGATGATTTTTTGTGGAATGATGGATTGAGTAACCTGTTTATAAATTTTGACGGGATAGGAAAATAATTCAATTAACCTGTTGACAATATTGTGACAAGAACAATTAGTCGGTTATACAGGAAAATATAGATTAGGCTGTAAAATTGTTGGCGTTATTTTGGAGACCATCCATTAAATGTGACATCAGGAGAGGCAAAATTTAGTTGAGCCATTTAATGATTTTTCAACCGAACTCGTCAATTAATTTTCACCCCGTCAGATTGTCAGTTAATTTCATCATCAGTCAAAACAATAAGTCAAATATCCGTAATATGGTAAATATTTCAACTTCGCTTACAAATAGTTTTAAAAGTTAATCTTTGGTCGACAAGTATTCCGTAAATTTTCTATTTTTCTTTGAAAGTTATCATCGGTTTCCTTCAGATATCGAACCAATTGATATTTTTTCGGCCGAATTAAATAACATTGTTGCAGTTAGCAAAATTATATTTTCATGGATCAAAATTTATTATCAATTCACCTTCAAAACAACGGACAGAATTCAATTTATAGCGACGACGGTGAAAAACACCAAGAGTCCCATAAGAAACCTGACCAAGTTAAACTACACCGACTGAACGTGAACGCACGTGAAAGAAAACGAATGCACGATTTGAATGATGCGTTGGACCAGTTGCGGAGCGTAATACCGTACGCACATAGTCCATCAGTCAGAAAGTTGTCTAAAATTGCCACCTTACTTCTGGCTAAAAATTATATTCTGATGCAGTCACAGATTATTGCTGAGTTAAAAGGTGAATTAAAGGCCCAAAATCAAAGCCAAACCCGTCTGCCAACATCTTTTGGCACTGGTCCAGAAAGCCATGGAGACAACGCTTCCCTTCAGTTATTTAGACAGTTGCCAGTCTTGATCGGAAGAGACAACAAAGAAGACAAAATTGGTCGCGAGAAGAAGAATTAAACTGATTTTTTAACTCAAATAAGCTCAAGACTTAATATTGAATCGATACATTTGTAATTCGGATGAGGATCTCAAATTTAATTTTATGATTTTTAAAAAATCTTTTCGAGTTACGGATTAAGGCCGCTATGGACAAGCGGTAATCGTATAACTTGCGCTCATTTAACTAAGAAACGACTTCTAATCTTCAGTATTTAATCTACTACGACTTTGTGTCAAGTTTGTTTGTGTCACTCAAAATTAACTTTAGTTTGCGAGAGAAAGTTCAACAAAAAATGCAATGAAAGACAAAGAATTTTGCCACATTATGGATTTTTTAAATTATTAATCCATCTTGTAGTACTCTCTGCTTCCCACTAAATATCTGATCTAATTGATAATTACAAAAAGTTAACCTTTTATGCTTTTTTTTTATTTTACTCTTTGATCTTTTTTATTTGTAGACTGAACAAAGTGTGAACTCGTCTGAGATTTCACTCTCTTGTCCCGGCGGAGGAAGGATAGAGCGAAACAACTATGAAAAGACTCTCTTCGTCTTTGGCTACTCACAGGGGTTCGGACAAGCTGACCACTCAAAAACTGTATCTATCTTGAAAAATAAATTCCCAGATTACACTATTGAATACTCGAATGAAGGCTATTAAAACAGTAGTTGGCTCGACTGAAACTTAGATAGTTGTTAAAAAATTTGTACTTGATGTGAAATTAAATGTTTTGATAGAAATTATTTGCTTTCTCTGATTAAGAGTAATGAATGTAGTGAAGTCTGTTAAATAGGTCTTACTGATTTTTTTCAGGAAAAGTCTTAAAATATTGATGCACTTAGGTATAATGCATTTTTTTAGTTAAATTGAAATTCATCTGCTGAAAGTGACGTAAATAGCACTCTACAAATACGAACGTGCAAATGTCTTGAAAATTCGCGAACGATTTCTAGTTTCGTAAGTGGAATTTAATTTTTTTATTTCTAGCTGAATGAAAACGTTACCTGTTGATCCAGTTTTCTCTAATTGGGTTAATGTTATCAAAGAAGCGCCGGTCATAAATCGTTCTAGAAATTCAAGGAGCTTGAAGGGCATCTATTTTCTTTGAAAATCGAAAGTTGCTATTTTTTCAGCAAAGTCAGTGTGTTTTTTGTTTACTTGCGTTCATTTATCTTTTTCAATCTTTGATTGATTATGTTTTTTTAAAGAGAATCTATTGATTTTCCATTTTCCTTTCAATTTGGCATTGGTCGGAAATCATATGATGATGTAAGAAAGCCAAAGTTAGAGATAGAAGCTGAAAGAGATAGAAAACGCATTTGAACGGATATAAATGAATTAGGAAGATGCGAAAAAGGCAGATTCCATTTAAAAAATTCCTAAGATCAGTTTTTACTAACTTAGAAATTTTGATCATTCTGCCGATTCGCGAATGCAGATCCTAATGTACGGAGCTCTGGAGTAATTCTCAACTTCACCGTTAATAAAAACGTTATTTCTGTAGCTATAGTTTGTACAGTGATGATATAAAGAAACTTTCTCGAATTGCATAAATCTCAGACAAAAACTTGAGGCGAAGAACATTCCTCAAAATTTAAACACGAAATAGTGCATGGTTTTTTGCAATCACAATCAAACGCTTTTATGTTAATACGAGGTCATTTTCACAGCCCGGTTTCACAGCGCCCGGTATTAATTATTAGTTGAAATAGACTCTAGAACAGCCAGCACAGTAGAAAGACGAATGCTTCATAATAAGTTGAAATTAGTTCAAGCCCGTTTCAGGTTGTAATTATCTTTTCAAAAAAATCGTAAATTTTTTCGGGGTCGTGGTTTTTGTCCGTTCATTTTTCGTTTTTTTTAAGCGCAATTTTTTTGTGGTAGGGATTTATTGGTTGATTTTTTACAGCATGGCTTTTGTTCGAATTTGAAACGTTTTTACTTTAACGGAATTTCTCAAATATATAATTTTACCATGTCTGATTTTTGAGTTTTTTTGTTTTTTTTTAATATCCAAACAGTTTCAGTTTGTGGTATATCGACTTGGTCAACTTAATTTGCGTAATTTCGAGGCTAAAATATCTCCGTTTGGGATTGTGCGTTTCAATTGGGTGGGTCGTTTGGTTTTCGGCTCACAGGTATCGACCCAAAGTTTGTTGCCGCTCAGTAAATGCTTTCTACTTTTTAAGATCTGTAGGCCTCGGAGCGGATAACTTTTTCTTAACCGGTTAACCGATCTCAAATTACCCGGTTAGCCGGCTAATTCTGAAGAAAACGTTTTGGCTAAAATGATTGATTTTTATACAGTATTCTGAAGAAAACTTTTTTGGCAAAATTGATTGAATTTTATACAGTATCGGTTTGGTGTGCATTTCCATCGGTTAATCGGTTAATGAAAAATTATCCGGTTAAAATAAATTAACCGGTTAACCGCTCCGAGGCCTAAAGGGCTGTTAATGAATTTCATCCCATACAAATAGAATTTTATGTTGCGGTAGTTTTTCAACTTTCGTCAAGTTATTTTTTTTCCAACATAATTTTTCAAAATTAAATTTTTCATTCTTTATTTTGTACCACAATGTGTGACTTACATCGCAAGTGTTAAGAAGCTCCGCTTCACCTCTGTTTCTAAAATTTTAATTTTAGTTTTTTTCTCTAACCCAACGAGCAGTTTTTCTAAGCAAAAACGCACCTCCCGCACCTCCTAGTACAAAGTTTAACGTCTCTTTTTTCGTAACTGGTCTCATTTTTTTGACATCTTTCAGCTCCTTATTTAACTTTTTTTGTCCCTGTTTGGTTTGTGCAGCTTGTTCGTGAAAAATCGCAAAAACTTTCACTCGCCTTTTTCTGAGTCTGAATGCTCCTTATTTTTAGATTGGTAAAAGCAAAAAAGGGTTAGCCAGTTACTATGCAAGTAGCACAGAATGTTCCGACCATAGTCTTAAGAAACTTTCCTTTCCAATTAGTATCATCTTGGCTGCATGGTGTGATAAAAGGAATGAACAAAAAACTGAAACTTGGGCACATTCGGCATTCATGGTTAAAGAGGCAAACTGGGCAACTGTTTCGAAAGAAATGACAAGAAAAACAAATCAACAAAAAAATTCCAGTGTTTTTTTTTTCAGTTTTTTATGCGGAGGTCTTCCGAATTCTTTGTTTTTAATTCTCAAAATGGCCTTAAAAAACCAAAAACTAATCATACTCAAGTAAAACAAAACTTGAGCATAAAGCAGCTATTGTGAACGGCCTAAATTAAGCACGAGAAGCATGCTGGTTTGCTTTACTCGCTAGAAGTTGGACAAAAAGTCAACAATTTCAAACCCGATTTTGAAAGTTTTTAAGGACATTCGAATCACGACTGAATGGGTTTCAACAAGAATTATCACTCAAAACACTAAAACTGAAAGACACTCGAATACAAAGTTTCTCCACATTTTTTAATTGGTCGCAAAAAACAGCAGGTGTTTGTTTACGTTAGATAAAACAGATTAACAGCTTTTGAATAGTTATTATTTTAAATGAAGGTAATGGGCAAAGTTTTGGGCAATTATTCAAGGCTGTCTAAATTCAAGCAATCCGGGCGCATGCTCGGACAAACAATTAGTTGCATATATTTCTAAAGTTTGCTAAACGAATTTGACTGTGTTTGAAACGGTTTGTGCTAAATGAGGAATATTAAGCAGCATTTGTGCTGAAACCTAATTTTTGAAGCTGGACGTAATAATCGTTTTAAATTAATTTTTTAACATTCCTGTCCTGCTCTGATAAATTTTTTCTTCTATTTTCATACAAATTGAAAACCGTTTTCGAAAAACTGAGCGCTACATGTCCAGCAACCAGTAGCATTTGTAACAGATAAAAAGTGGCTAATATTTGAAAAAAGACAACAATTTTTCTTAAATCAATTTTAAATCCTTTTGTTTTAAGCTCTAGTTTGTTCCAAATAATGCTAACGGTGTTTGAAACCTTCTCAAACCATTCGACACTCCATGCGCATTAACCAGCAGTATTTTCATACACTAAAAACAGCTAACTATTTAATTTTTGTTGAAATTAGACTAACCTTTCTTAAGCTAACTTGAAAACCTCTCACGAGCTCTTAAAACTTTATTTTGTTTAATTGATGACAGTGTTTTGCAATTTCTGGCACATGGGCAGCAACCGGGAGCTCTTATTAAAAATTTAAAATGTATGATTTAAAAAAAACGCAAAACTTTTTTCAATAGTTTCTAGTCTGTCATTAAAAATTATAGAAGCAAGAAAATTATGCAACAACGAACTCATAACAGTTAATTTCTGCCTTAGTTTTTTGCAATAAACATTGTCTGAATGACTTCCTTTATAGGTTTACAGCGGTTCAGTTTCTGCTTAAAACAAATTTTTGTCAAGAAATGTTTTTTTTCCGTGAAATCGGTTCGAAAAAAAATGTGATTCCAAAATCCTTTTCAACATAATTAATCACTTTAATGTATAGCTCTATCAATCTAATAGTTGTTAAGTACAGTGCTGACTTAAATTAACCGGACGCAATGAACGGAATTTGCACTTTTAAAAGTTTTTTCCTTTAATTGGGTTAAGAGAACAAAATTGCTGAAAATTTCAGCAGAATTAGTATGGTGCAATTTTTTTTAATTCACAGCCAAAATTTTGCCCTAAAAGTTAGTCATTTTTTTAGTTAATCAAGAATTACGTTGAAACTACCAAGTTAATTGATGAAAAACTTATTTTAAAAGAAACCTCTTACTCAGTCCAACAATAATTTTGAAAGATAAAAATTCCAAAAATTCTCAAATTGTTTGAAATTTGTTTATAAGCAAAGATTTTGTATTTTATTTAGTAAAAATGACTTTTTCCGGCTATCAACCAAAAGTATAATTTCTTATAAAGATTTTTGGAGATTGTATCCTTTTAAAGATTTGGCAAACAAGGTAAGAAGTTTCTTATCAATAAACTCTTATCAATAAGTAGTCTTAGCATAATTGTTGATTAACTAAAAAAAAAGAACTATTTTGGAATAAAAAATTTAGCTGCGAATTTTGAAAAATAAATGGCACTATATTAAATCTTGTGAAATTCTGAGCAGTTTTTATTTTCTTCCTTTTTGTCTAATTTTAACCCAATTTGAGAAATGTCTTTGAAATTTCAAATTTTGAATTGTTTGTCCGGATAATTCGAATCAGCACTGTAGCAGGCAACCAGCAGCTGTATTTCGTTCGTGTAATTTTGTTAAAAAATCGAGACGCGGAGCGCAAGGAGTTAAACAAATTTTGGAATGCAAAATGAGTTGTTATTTCCCCACTAAAAATCTACTGTTGCAATTTTCTAACAATTTCTTTTGTTTGATTGTTCTAGGAAATATATTTCAATTTGGTTTCTAACATTGCACTAGTGTTTCAAATCTGGCTGGTAACCGCAATTCAAATCATGGTTTTATGAGCCTGTTGAAATATGGTCATAGCAGTTTAGAACCAATATTCAAGACCAAAATTATGTTGTATAATGAATGGTGTATCAAAAAGCAGCATATTTTTAGTGCAGAATGCAGACAGGGTTTTTTTTTCTTGCTTATCAAAGTTTTTCAAATCATTAATTCTCTCGTCTTATGCAAAAGTGATACTCCAATTGATGAAAATTCGATTAAAAACGTGGTAAAACAATAAGTTCAACGACAGCTAGGGGCGGATCTAGGATTTTCTCGAGGGGGCGGACGGATTTTTTTTAGGTCGACCAAATTAATTTTGTG